CCTCCCCTCGCTTCAGCCACGGCAGCAGCAACAGCACGAGCCGGAAGATCCTGCGCTTTGTGGATAAGATCGCCAAGTCTAAGTACTTCCAGAAGGCCACTGAAAACGAGTTCATCAAAAAGAAGATCGAGGAGGTTTCCAACACGCCGCTGCTGCTGACGGTGGAGGTGCAGGAGCTGGCAGGCACCTTGGCCGTGAACATCCCCCCGCCACCAACGGACCGTGTCTGGTACCAGCTCTCCTTCCTCCCATGTGGGGATCCACGGGCATCCTCCCTCCAGCTCCCCTTGCCTCCTGCAGCTCGGCCAAGGAGCCAGCTCTGGGGCTTCGGGTCCATCTGGGGTGCCAGCAAGCCAGGGCTGTTCTCCCAAAGGGACTCACAGACCTCAGGCTCATTTCTCCTGGTCTCCACCCAGGCCAAGACAGGATCTGGGGACCCAGAGCTCCCACTGCAACCCAGCCACCTCCTCGCAGGAGGCAGGTCCCTAAAACCCAGCAGTGGGGGCCACATGGGCTGTGCCACACATTCAGGACGTGATGCTTTCTGCCTCTTTCCTTTCTCCTCGCAGGTACAGCTTCCGAGTCCCACCCCAGCTGGAGCTGAAGGTGCGCCCGAAGCTGGGCGAGCGGGAGGTGACGTTCCTCCATGTCACCGAATGGATCGAGAAGAAGCTACAGCACGAGTTTCAGGTGTCTGGTCGGTTAAAGGGCTCAGCAAACCCTGCTGAAGCATGGGCATTGCTGCCATCAGGGATAATGGCACCTCAGTTTGGGCCAGGGTTATTGCTACAAAAAAGCAACATCTGATCTGGTCTGTCCAGCTTTGGACAGTGAAGAAACATGACCGTAACCAGCTTCGAGTGCTGGTGCTCTGAGCACTAGAGTGCTTGAGGAAAAGCAATTTCCTCCCAGTATGTGCAGCCCTGCCCCAAGCAGGGGGGATTAGGAATGTCAGCAAGTCCCAGGCAGACACCCCCCAGAAGCACTGAATTCATCATCCACTCTGGTTTTGGGATGGTTTGGGAGATTTACCATCACGAGGTACCCACTGGTTTGTTTTCAGTCTCTCATCTTCGAGATCTCTGGTCAAAGAGCAGAAATGTGGCCACAGACATTTAGGTACCCAAATGCCCCCTGATTGCTGCCCATTTGAATGGCTTCAACATGCTGCTCCCAGCCCTTTGCCATGACCACCCTTGAAGCCATACAGGTGGGCAGGGCAAAGAAAAACTGCTCCTGCTTGTCCCCATCCAGAGCTGGTAATCCTTTAGGGCCAGGCACGGTCAGCTGCAGACGAGGGGACAGGAGCACGGGACCTTCTGTTCACAGCCCCGGTCTCTGACCCGAGTGCAGCTCCTGCCAAGGCCATTTCCCAGCAGACGTGTCGCCAGGCAGGTAGTGGTATTCAAAACCACTTACTTGTTATTCTGGATTCCTCTTTTCAGAAGGTTTTGGTGATGCCAAACATGGATGATCTCATCATTCCTATCATGCGTTCTGGCCTGGATCCTCAGCCACCCACTGGAGGACTGCCCAGGGATCTACCAGCCAAGGGGGAGATGAGGCTCTGAAGCGCAGCCCCACGAGCCGGGCAGAGACACTGCACAGAGCTCAGGGACCTCGCTGGGACACGGAGACAGCCAGGGCCTGGCCACTGACTGCATCCAGGGCTACGCCATGGGGTCTGAGCTTCTCGGTTCATCTCATCCTCAGCACTTTTGTAGATGAGCCTCCTTCTTAAACACTGCAAGCACACGTTCAGAGCAGAACCAGAGGGCAAGGGGTTTGCTGGAGACCCAAGAACTTCATGTACCTCCTACCAGGTTCCCAGGACTCCTGGTCAAGGGAGCAGCTCTGGACCAGCGGAGGGCTGGGCTTTCCACTGTCTGGTTCCCAAAGAGGGTGCAGGACGCCCAGACCGGTTCTGCACTGAAGGAGTTGTGATCACCGCTGATCCAAGACATCACAGCTCCAAGACGCATCACACCCTCCCCGTAGGCAGCTGGACTGCAAGGAAAAGATGGGTGAGAAATGAGTCCAAAGTCTGAATAAATCCATCACTGCCCAGTCTTACCTAGCAGCCATCTTATTGTACACAAGTTCCCGTATTCGCTGAGGATGCCGGCCGGGAGCCTGGGTCTTTGTGCACACAGAAGTCCGTGGGTCATGTTTTCAGCTCAGCAAAAGGGGTGCCTGGGGGGGCGGGTGTGAGAGGCTGCAAGGGGAGAGACGGCCAGGGAGACTGCATGGAGGCAGGTAATGGGGAGGCCCTGTATTCCCAGTGGAAACTGGGGCACAAGTGCCAGTACATGCTCTGCTCTCCTCTGGAAGAGAGAAGGGGAGTCTTCACCGTGGTTTGGGTGAATGCCAGCAGTGGGAAAAAAATCCCTAGGCAAAGGAAGAGGGAGGATCCAAGAACAGAGTGGACACTTGGCTGTCCCAGTTAGCCCCTGTCCGTATGGACCAGTCCCAAGTCTTACTTGTCCCATCCCCAGCTGCTGAGGAACCGTGAGGACACCCTGCTGCCCACAGGCAGCACTGAACACAGGCAAGACCCACTCCAGAAGGAAGACAGGCAGCAGGCACAGCTTGAAGCCTTTTTATTGAAGGTGCCCAGTCGGGTAGCCTTGCATATCCAGGTCCTTACAGCTCTTCCTGCGCTCCTGGCTTCCCTTTCACCAAGTGTTTCTTCTGAGGGCCCTGGAAGAGAGCAGAGAGGAGAGCTCTCAGTGTTAGTGGCAGACAAACCTGGCCCACAAGGCAAGCAAAACTGCAGCTCTGGCCCCTTTCTGCTGTGCAAGGCTGCTCCCAGTCTCTGCTCCCCAGCTGGGAGCTCTGTGCTGCCATTCACCAGCTGTCCCTGGGGCCTCTCCAGCTCTGCAGGAACCAGGAGCAGAACATCATTGCTCTTGCACAAAGGGTTTGCTTCTCTGGACAGCACAAAAGCAGTTGGAGAGTGGCAATGAGTGACCCGCTCCGTGCCAGGTGGGCTGGGCTGCAGCCAGGGGATGTGGAGGGCAGCAGTAGTTGTGCTGATGAACGCTACCAGGGGCTCACCATGGTGGAGCAGCTGCTGAGCTGCTGTACAAGCTCTGGAGGAGGCAAGGCCTCCCGCAGCCAAAGGCACAGATTGTCATCGGCCAACTCGACAGAGCCTGAGGGGTTTCCACCAGCTAAGAAATGGGGTTGTCCCGGACCAAGTGTGTGCTGTGGGAGCAGACAGCAAGAATTACTTACGTGCCTCTACTTCCAGGCAAATGCCAAGTTTTACCACAGCATACATGGGGGGAAGCTCTCACCCCACAGCACAAAATGGCCAAGAAAACATCTGCAACCAGGTAAAACCATCTCCCGTCACTAAGGTCCGTGTCGCTGCTACTCAGGACATGCAGCGACAGCACGAGCGGAGCACGAAGAAGCTCCTAACGCTGAGAAAGGAGAACAGCTTAACCTGGAAAGCGCTCTGCAAAGGCACCGCACCACCAAGCCCTGCCCAGGGCTAAGGGGGCTTAGCCAGTTTCCCGTGGGATTTCTCACTGGCAGGCCAGTCCAGCCACGGGTTACCTCTGCGCGGTATCCAGGCAGTTGTTCCTTTCATCCCTCAGTCTCACATTCAGACTTATGCACCAGCCTGGTGTAGGCTGCAAAACTATTCAAGAAACTCTGCTTGGTTTGGATTTTTTTTTTTGTTCCCTAGATTTAAGAAAAATATACTGCTTGGCCTTTTTGGAAGCTTCCTGACAAAAGAATCACAAATTTGTGTCTGAATTTGACCCAACCTTTTCCTCTTAAGAACATTAAAGTTGTAAATCATTCCAAACAAATCAAAGAAGTGCACAATTGCCAGTGAAAGGGACCATATGTCCAAGGCAGCACCTGCCAAGTTAACTGCCTGTTTAAAACATCCCATGGTGAATGGAAACTGGTTGGCCATATGGTATATTATTTGTTAGTTGGGTTGTCTTGGATCACTCACACGGCCATCATGTCCTTCCTTAGCACGATATCTGCCATGTGAATTGAATTCCTGCCTGTCTTTTATGCAAGAGGGTCCCGATCACTCCTTTGGCTGTTGTCACGTGGAGAAGCAGATGCTTGGTCAGGGTCAATCAGTCGCTTTAGCCCCAGCTAGGAGCACGGCCCGGGAGCTGGAGCCGGCGCAGAGCGTAACTCACCATGAAAGCCCGCTTCTCCTGAGCTGTCTGGAAGCGGCCGTGGCCAAACTTGGAAGTCGTATCGATGAATTTGAGTTCAATGGCTTCCAGAGCCCGGCGGCTTGTATGCACCAGAAGGGACTGGAAAAGAGGAGTCACAATGCATCAGGCTCATCTTTACAGAAAATCTGGATATCTGCTCTGATGGAAGCAGGGTTGAAACATCCTAGGTGCATCCACTAGGCAAGTATCTCCATGAAAATCTGCCTTCTTGGAGAAACACCCTGGTGCTCAGGTGGCAGGTGATGCCTTGGATTGCAGAGCAGCTCTGAAATGAGCCTGCTCTTCACTTAGCATTTCGTTTCCTCCCAACCTGCTTACGGGCAAGGTTTCCATTTCTGGGCCCTGTATCACAGCCCTCAAAGGCTTTCCACTTCTGTACATCCAACTGCACGCTGCCACAAACCGTCCAGCTGCGAACGGTCTCACTGAGCACCATTCTCATGTGCCACATGCCCTCTGCAACCCCTGAAACTACCTTAATATTACAGTTGAAAGCTGTCACAAAAACTGTCCTCTTGGAATGTCATGTAACAACTTGCTTATCCAAGATTTACTGTCATCTGAGGTATGTAATTTTTGAGTAAATCCTTTCATCTGAGACTTTCTTCTCCTGGCATCCAGTAGCTCATACATTTCTTGCCAGTGGGATGTCTACCTGATTATCTGCAACACAGCATCAAGGATCCGACCAGTGTCCCTACCCAACGTTCGGAGGCAGTGGCATTCTCCACGTTGTCAATCTGTTTGTGGAGAGCTACAGCCCGTCCCTCCCCAGCACCCGCTGCTCTCTCACCTTACGGAGGGTGAGCACACGCTTCTTTGTGCCCACGACACAGCCCTTCAGCATCAGGAAGTCGTTGTTCACCTCCCCATAGTGAGGAAAGCCACCCTGTGGGGAGAGGCAGAAAGAAGGTTGGCAAGCAAGGGAGCTGGATGGGAGCAGACATGTGTCCACGGGTGGCTTTTTGTAGGGAAGGAGAAGGCAGTGACTGATGGTCCTTCTGGCTAACAACACTCTGCATCCTTCCAGTTGCCTGCTCAGGACCACCAGAGCGTGTCAGCTGCACTGACTGCATGGTCCCAGCTAAGCAGCACCCTCTAAGAGCTGGGAAACCAGCAACCATGCTTCCTTGCCTGGAGAATGTGGGAGAACAGAGAGCAGGGCTGGCTAGACTCCCGAGTTAACAGATTTAATAAGCAGAAGTGAATTTTTAAACCAAGTAACAAACATTTCTCTGTTAAGTATCAGATTTTTAATGTCATTTATGCTTCTTTTTCTTTTTAAACAAAGTTCTCAGTTTCTACCCAAGTTATCAGCTGAAAGTTACATTTTTGGGTCTAACAAAGGGCCTAAAAAAACATCTCATGTAGATGGTTTTCCATGTCCAAAACATGGAAAGGAATCACTGCATTTCTTTCAGTGAATTTCCTTCAAATCATTTCCTATGCAGCTGTCTCCAGCCAAGGAATTACTTCCCTGGCTCGGATTCCTGTAGCCAGGGCCAGTCACAGCCCTGTTACCCCCTCAGCCCTTACCAGAGGTGTAATGGTCTTCTCCGTGACATCGTAGTGTGTTGAGGCATTGTTCTTCACCACTTTGCCATCTTCCACATGGATCCCATGGCCAATGCGGTAAATCTAGGAACAGAAATTGAGACAGCGACTCTCCCACCCCTTCAGTGAGGGATGTCACAGGGACGATGTGGTTTTTATTAAGATGTGCCCCCTGCGATGTGTCCCTTGAGCAGGGAACAAGGGAACAGGGAACAACAGGGAAAGGCATGGAGAACAACAGCACTGCAGATCCCTAGGGAAACGTCTGAGAAGCTGGGGGGAACAGAGGCCACCATACAAAGGAGGACGGTGACAGCACAGGAGGAAGACAGGCAGGAAGGGGCAGTGGTGCTCTGGGGGAACCTGTCTGGGCCATACCTTCTTGTTGAGCTCCGTGCGGTGGTGGTAGCCCTTCTGGCCAGCCCGAGCAATGGAGTAGCCAACCCGGGCTGGGTGCCAGGCTCCGATGCAGGCAACTTTGCGCAAGCCTTTGTGTGTCTTCCTGGGGAGCTTCTTGGTGTGCCAACGGCTTGTCACCCCTGGAAGTGTGACCAGACAGGGCGGTGAGAACACCGAGGAGATTCAGGGCTGATGTCTGAGTGCTGGGGAGGGGAGAGTCTCGTCATTCTTCTGCAGTTCTCAGAAGACACCGTGTTGGAAGGAGACCAAGAGCTGTCACCGCCGCAGAGGCCAGAGCGCAGAACTGTTCTCACTTCCCATGGATCTGATGAGACTGCGATACGTTCCTGCTGCGCGCATCTACAC